AACAAGAAGGAAAGGAGCTGACTGTGAAACAGATCAAAATGCTCATATGCAACTTCAATTTGAAACTAAAGAAAATTAAAACAAGTCCACAAGAGCCAATATTTGATCTTGATAATCTCTCACCCAAATTTACAGACCATCTGAAGAACAGATTTGACAAACTAAATACCAGCGACCAAAGACCAGGTGAATTGTGGGATGAAATCAAGAACATCATACACAAAGAAAGCAAAAAGTCATTAAAAAGAACAGGAAAGGAAGAAATGACCAAAATGGGTGTCAGAAGGGACTCTGAAACTTGCTCTTGAATGTAATGTAACTAACATGAGTGGAAGAAATGATGAAATAAAAGGGCTGAACAGAAGATTTCAAAGGGCAGCTTGAGAACACAAAGTAAAGTATGATAACAAAATGTGCAAAGACCTGGAGCTAGAAAAACAAAAGGGAAGAGCAAGCTCAGCATTTCTGAAGCTGAAAGAACTGAAGAAAAAAAATTCAGGCCTCAAATTGTAATATGGAAGGATTCTGTGGGCAAAATATTGGACAATGTGTGCAGCATCAAAAGAAGATGGAAGGAATACACAAAGTCATGGTATGAAAAACAATTGGTCGACATTCAACCATTTTGGGAGGTAGCATAAGATCAAGAACCAAAAGTGCTTAAGGAAGAAGTCCCTGGTCCACTAAAGAAATTGGAAAAAATCAAGGCTCTAGTATTCATTGAGATGTTTCAGCAAATGGATAAAGCACTGGAGGTATTTACATGTTTATGCTAAGAAATTTGGAAGACAGCTACTTGGCAAACCAACTGGAAGAAATCCATATTTGTGCCCATTCCAGAGAAAGGTGATACAACAGAATGTGAAATTATCGAACAGTATCATTAATGTCACACGTAAGTAAAATCTTACTGAAGATAATTCAAAAATGGTTACACCAGTAAGTTGACAGAGAACAACCAAGAATTCAAGCTGGATTCAGAAGAGGATATGAAACAAAGGATATCATTGTTG